ATAGCAATAACTGGAATAAAAACAATAAGAACTTGCCACGCCACTTGAGACATCACTATAATAATTCCCAGAAGCTGGATCATTGAATAGACAGTTGCCCCAAGTATGTAAGGAATTTGCTGATCCACAGAACTTTGATCAGTGGAAGCCTGTGAAAAAAGCATTATAAAGCAATTAGTTTCGGGTAAAAGCTCAAAATCATTGCATGGTTTTTGGTTATGCAGTCACTGATTTACCCGATTGAGTATCCTTCCACTAGGTGTCGAGTCAAAAAACGACATGGGAGCACGGAAAATGGACAAATGCATCTTGTCGAAGAGCAGGGTTGCTGTCTTGTAAGCTATGGTTGCAAGGAGAGTGGTTCTGCCTAGGATGCAAAGAGAGCTTGCAACAGCCAAAACTACATATACAGCTATCAGTGTCATTGGAGGAACAGGAGGCTCCTCATCCTTTGATACTGGAGTTGCCCAAGCCATCCAATAGTTGCTGCTAATCTGGAGGATTTGAAACATTGTATGTGCAAGCACTGCAAGTGGTGCAAGAGCTCCTCCATATGCTGTGGTGAGATACTGCCAGTAGACTGAAAATCCAACTCTTCCTTTCTCCCTCTCTTCTTCTTGAACAAGCTGACCCTGTGGCTTGCCTGTCTCGTCTTCTTTACCATTTTGCAATACCTTGTCTCCATCTTTCGGCTCAATTCCATTGCTATTGCCCATGTTGCCAGTTTCTTTACTGATGATACTTCCATTCTCAGATTTTGAAGCTTTGGAATCTATCACAGATAAAGCGGCCTTATGTGCACCAACAAGTTCCATGAAATCAGATCCTGAGTTGAGAATGTCACTGTACTTTCCAGCCTGTGTTATCCTTCCATCTTTCAATACCTACAACCAGAAGTTACAAATGCAATTTGAGTCTTCCCTTTATTCATAATTTGAAGAAACATTACAAAATCAAAAAGAGAAAATGCCATCGATATGCTTGTCACTCACCAAAATTAGATCTGCAGCAGGTAAGAATTCAACTTGATGAGTGACATAAACCACAGTTTTGAAACTCAGATGACCCAGCAAGACTTCCTGTTGCAATACAAACAGAGAGAACATAAGTCTCATTGAAGAACAGATGAATAAGAACAAAAGAGGGAAACGTGCTTAATTCACCTTAAACAAATGAGATCCAGTATGAGCATCCACTGCACTGAAAGGATCATCGAACAGGTAGATGTCGGCATCTTGGTAGAGGGCACGAGCAATCTGAATTCTCTGCTTCTGTCCTCCACTCAAATTGATGCCTCTCTCACCAATTCCTGTTTGATCGCCAAATGAAAACATCTCCATGTCCTTCTTCAGTGCACAAGCTTCCAGTACTCGGTCGTACTTTTCTCTATCCATCTCTTGGCCAAACAAAATGTTGTCCTGAATCTTGCCACTCTGTATCCAAGGTGACTGAGAAACATAAGCCTTTGTCCCACACAGCTCGATGGTGCCAGAGATCTTCGGAACCTCTCCCAGAATGCAGGAGAGCAAGCTTGATTTGCCTGAACCAACAGTACCACAAACAGCAACCTTCATCCCACGGTACACCTTCAGATTTACATCTCTCAGTGTGGGGTTTGGTGAAGATGAATCCCAAGAGAAACTCCCATTAACAACTTCAATAGCAGTTTCAGAAGCTTCTCTTGGAATCCTCTTCACTACATCATCCGGCAAATCATCGAGACGCAAGAAAGCTACAATTCTGTCAAGCGAAACCTTCATCTGAACCACTATGGAGACGGTATCAGGAAGACTGTAGATGGGTTCTTGAAGAACCCGAAAGGTTGCAAGAGCTGATAAGATTTTCCCAGACTCCAGTGGGATGCCCAAAAGAAAGCATGTACCAAAGGTGACAACTGAGACAAAGGTAGGGGCACCCCAGAAAACAAAGCTAATAAAAGCTGCAGCGTAACCATAGCTTTTCAACCATATCGTCTCTATCTTCCGCAGCTCAATAATCTTGGACAGAAACTTCATCTCCCAAGCCTGCAGCTTCAGAATTCTCATGTTCCTCAAAATCTCCGATGTTGCTTTCATTCTATTGTCTTTCGACTTCATCAGCTTCTCCTGGTATCCCTCTTGCAATCTCCCCAAAGGAAAATTCAGCAACATCACCATTATAGTGGCAACGAGAGTTGCTATAGAAGCAAGCCCCAAATTCCTGTACAGTATGTACAAGGCTAGACCGACTTGTAAAAAAACCAGCCATGTATCATGAATGTACCAAGAGAAGTCACCGAATCTTTGAGCATCCACTGTCATGATGTTGATGATTTCTCCACTAGTTTGGCCCTGCTTGGACTGACAGGAGAGAGTCAACCCTTTGTTGTAGATCATTGCAACTACTGCTGCGCGCCACCGCATGCCAATTTGTTGCAACTTAAAGAACCATAGCCTTTGCGTGATGCACTCGACAATCTTGCCAACCAAGAACACAGAAGCCAGGACATATCCTTGATTCCTGTACTCCTCTTGCCCACTTAGGCATTGAACAAAAGCATCTATGAGATATGGACCGACATAAGATGCTCCTGTGTACAACAGGGCTTGAAAAGCCGTCAATAGGATCTCTTTCCAAGCTGTAAAGAACAAAGCCTTTGCAAGCTTGAATGCTGTAACTTCACTAGCAGAGCCCCCATCCGATTCAATCCTCTGCTTAAGAGATGTGAATGCCTGAACAACACTATCATCTTTATAAAGCTGAGGAACATCCTCAAGGTCTAGAGCTTTCTTATTGCCAAGAGCAATCAGAGAACCCATCCAAGAGAAAGACAAAAGACCCAGAACACCAGCATCCGAATAAGGAGTGGCAGTGGCATCCGCTCTGGAAAGTTTTAAGCTAGACTCTTGACCCAAGAGAGGCTCTCCCAGAAGTGTATTCTTCTCCCTCGTGTTTCTGAAGAATCCGACGTAACAGAGAAACAGACCAACGACCACAGAGACTGCATCAGAAACCAAACGTGGAATCTGGGAATAGGATTGGAGATTGTTGTAGAGAACAAGGTCCACAACAAGGCAATAAAAGGAGATTCCGAGATAAAACCCCCACCAGACCCTCAAGGGAAATGGGAACTTAGTCTCGGCAGTATTTGCAAATTGGGTGTGCAGAAAAACACTAAGCCCACCCCAAGAACAAGTTCTAAGAACCAAATCCAATAGGGTCCAAAACTCATCATCATCAGACCACCCATTCATATACCAATAGAAGTAGCTGAATAGACAAAACGTGAGATTGAACAACGAAACGCCAAGGGAACAGAGCACGGTCAGGTTATAGCACAAACACCTTCTGTGCTTACCTGACGAGCCTTCCTTGGCGCCGTCACTAGCATCATCACCTACCCTGAATTTCTTCTTTAGGAACGAGAGAAAAAAGATGAGCAACAAAACCAGGTGCAATGAACCGGAAAGCCCATGTAGGAAAATGGGTCTCAGAAGAAACAACTCATTGCCACCTGACGATGATGAGTAGGTAGAGAGAAGAGAGGCTAGAGAAGCTTGCTTTGTTGGATCAAAATTTTCCATGACTGAGCTGAGCTCTTCCTCGCAAATGGGTTTCTGTAAGTTTTCTACCTACGGGACTTTGGAAGAGGAGGGTTGAGCGGCATTGTCTGTGTTTATAGAACAGAGTATGTAGACCACAGAATGAAAAAGGAGAGAGCCCACGAGTTAGGAAGAGAGGGCCAGTCAAAAGAGTGGACTCTTCTCTTCTCGTCCTCAGTGGAAGCGTGGAGGGCAAGGATTTCCTTCCTAGTAGAGACGGATATAGTGACACTGCCATTTAGCAGATTGGCGGGAAATGGCCGTCAGGGTCACAGTCTCACAGTCGGACAGAGGCTGATTTTGGGAAGAAGGAAGGAAGGAAGGAAGTGGCAGCAGAACTTTCCTGTTTTGAAACAATCTGTGGAGTCTGCCAGTCTGGGCCAGGGGTATCTTTTGCTATAACCGAAAAAATGGAGACTGATCAAATAATAGAGATGGTGGATTTGTTTCTTGATTGTGGGATTTTGTGATAAAAATTGTAATTAATTAATAGCTTTTTATGGTCTTTGTGAAATTATTTCCTAATCTATGGGACTCCAGCTAGGAATTAGATTGTAGACTTGTAAGTTGTAACAGAAAATCTTCTTTAGGAAAATCTGCATCCATTTATTAAATGGTTTAGAGTAGCAAGATTACAGTCTATTTGTAACAATGGGACTAAAAATATTGTCTTATTTAGGAATAATATAAAAGTGGGTGTAAAAACGAAAATGATCCGTTAATCAATAATTTAGTATGACATAAATTAAGTAGGTAATTTTTCTCGCCGGAAAACATTAATTTCGAACGTAAAATTTTCTCGCTGGAAAACAATAATCCGTCCATGTCTATAAGCGAGTGGAAGGGAACGTGAGTCTACCAAATGGGATGGGAGGCAGCTGATTTCCATTTCTTTATTTCCTTTTACCTCTTTGCTTGACTTGCTTTATTAATTATTAAGAAATGAATAAAACAAACTCATCACATCATCCATCCATTCTGTGGACTTCCGTGCTTACTGACTTGCTTGCCCTGCAAGGCTGATGACCTCTCCAAAGAGGAAAAAATGGGTTCTTGATGGAATTGGTTGGCCACGGAGATGCCGTGACGTGAGCTGGTATTGTTGCCATCATTGAGCTATAGTGTGGCAGTAGATAAAAAGAATCAATTCGGATGGTTAAAATGGTGTTCAACTTTGGGATGTTCGACTCCAAAAAAGCCAACAGTAACTACATATGACACTGAATTAAAGAAGCAATTACACAGAGCTGGTCGTAATCTCGGCCACAGTTATAGTCGCTCTACTTTCACGAAAAAATGAGCAAGAGCCTAACGAGAGAATGAAAGAACTAAAGAAGCAAGGCGATGACTTACAGCATGTTCCAGTATAGACAGAAGAGAGGAGGTTTGCAGGGATGATCTTGAGCTCGTGCACTCTAACTAGGTCGCTGCAGCCACACGGCGATCTTCTACAGGAGCAGAAAAGTTGAGGCTTTTACTAACATCGAAGAAATGTGCAACGGCTTCTTCAGGCGTCCCAACAAGAACACCATGTCCTAGGTTCAGAATGTGCCCTCTTGGTCCAGCGCAGTTCACCACTCTGATCAAACGAAGATAAATCAGTCAGACTCATAAAAAAAAACAGGCATTTTATATGATTATACATGCAGCAAAAGGGCATAGTTGTCTCCTAGTCGAAAATTAATTTCAAGAACCAAACTAGATTGGATAAAGAAACATCTAGTAGCAGTTATCATTCATGAACATTTGATTTTGCCAGCCATGGTGGGAAATCAAATGCAGTCAGCTACTGGTGAAGCTTCTACAATTCTTGAGAAATGCAATGATGAACATTATAGTTGGAATTAGAGAAGAGTCGGTCAACCAAAACTGAGGATCATACACATCACCCTCATCAAATGATAAAGCAGCACATAAAAGGTCTAGTTTAGACTTTAGAGCATGGTAGCTAATTTCCAAATTGATCACAAACCTGTGAATTTCATCAGTAATAGCAGGGAGTGGCAAAAATAAGTAAGCAGGGTCGACATTTCCTTGAACGCTCATTCCATTCCCCAGCCGCTTCCTACCATCTGCCATGTCCACTGTCCAGTCAAGTCCAATCACATCAACTCCAATATCTTTCATCCGCTCAAGCAGGCCACCATTTCCATTGATGTAAAGAACAAGGGGTGTGCCAGGACATTTGCTCTTGACTGTACTGACTATCTGCAATTTCACAAAGGTGATACAAAATTAAAATCCAGATACTGGTGTTCATTAGTTTTCAAGCTTTTAGAAGGTAAGCTAACCCTGACATGTTTTTGTCTTCTCGCCAAAAAAAAAATGTTTTTGTCGAAAATCAAACATGGGGTATATAATCCTCAAGCACCCTTTTTTCTTTTTTAAGTTTTTTATAATCCAAGAAAGTCAAGAGCATGATATAACGAGTCAGCACAAGGGAGCAACAGAAAATGTAATGCAACATGATGATGAAAGTCCAAAACGGTTGGTTGCCAAAAGCTCAGTACTTGATGATGCATTTGATGGAGAGCTGCAACATGATTGCAAGGTGAGAATGGATTTGCTAACCTCTTTGATGAAAGGTTTTGACCAGATCTCCCACATAGCAGGAGATAGTTGGCCACCCCAAGAATCAAATATCTGAATGCAATGAGCCCCCGATTCCACTTGATAAACAGCATAATCAGCGATTGCCTTGGTCAAATGAGCGAGGAGAGCCCTCAATACATCTGGTGCTGTATGACACATGCTCTTTATTGCTGTATACGTGCGAGTCGTACCCCCTTCCACTATATAGGTACCAATTGTCCAAGGTGATCCCACAAAACCCAGAACAGCTGCTTTCCCTTCAACCTAAGATGAAAATAGCACATCTATGAGGTTCCGGAAAGAAAACCAGTAATGTTCTTTTCAGTGGATCATCTTCCTATATCCTATCTCAAGCACTAGGCTACCTCATTGCGAAGTAATCTAAGCGAGTCCCCAACGAACTGTAGCTTCTCAAGTTCAATAGGATGCAAGGTCTTCAAATGCTCCTCGGAACGAATCGGAGACTGAATAACAGGACCCCTCACGTCTTCTATGTCAAATGACACACCAAATGCCGGTAGCGGCGTAAGTATGTCAGAGAAAATAATGACACCATCTGGGCGGAAAGCTTCCCAGGGCTGCAAAGAAATTTCCACAATGAGTTCAGTTGTCTCCGACCTCTCCCTGAAGGATGGGTATTTCTCGGCTAGCTTTCTGTACACAGCCATATACCTCCCTGCCTGGCGCATCATCCATGCTGGAGGCCTCGAAACAGCTTCACCCCTTGCAGCCTTAACCAAGAGAGGATCTGAATGAATACGAGTTCAATCAAAAGATAACAACAGTAGTAGCCACGGGCAATGATCAATTCGTAAGCTTGCTATATGTAGGAATTACGGCGTGGAAACATGAGAGTCGGAACATTCAAACAATGAATGGAGGTGGAGATGTACCAGGTGAAGAAGATGGGGAGGAGCATGAAATGCGCAAATTCTGGCGGGGCAGGTAGTGTGTAGAGACAGGAGGAATCAAAACTCCATTGAAATTGTTGGAGAAGCAAAACCCTAGCTGGACGGATACGATGGAAGAGCTCCTCCACGCAACTGACGGGCCGCCGCCGCTATAGCCGAGAAGGAGAAGAAATCAGGGTATAGTTAAAGAGGAGAAGAGTAATTTGGTTTGGGAAATGCGGAAATTGGGACTTACCTGTTTGGATACGGGAGCTTCATTTTTCTGGTGGTCGGAATAACTAAGTTTTACCGACAAAATGCGAAAGGAACGGCGGGCGGTGCTACTCCGGCGGGTTTATGCTATATGAAACCCTTCGCGAGAGTGAATTGTTGTGAGTGGGTAATCGGATAAGAGGGAAGATTGGATTCAAGATTTCCCAGTACCCAGTTACTCTTTTCAGATTCGTCGAGGGTTGTGATCGAGCCACGTCAGCTTTCTTGTGTCTGCTAGGGATGGATTATGTCATAGTAGATCTAAATTAAGAATTATACATCACTTTTACATATTCAATACTACAATTCGATATGGAATATTCAAACCACTGATATTTGGGCCGCGATTTTAAAGTTATCTTCTATTTATAAGATATATATAGGAATTTAATTAAGTATTAAACAATAATTAAAATGAGGAATTTGGCCTATGTTAGTCACACAAAGTTTTAACTCAAATGCATGTTTCTCTAATAATTTTTTGCTTCTTATTTGTATGAGATGAGGTCGACCGACTCTATGACTGTGCACCTGGAGAAAAATGAAATTTACTATTGCGGGATTATGATGGCCTTTGAAATGGTTTGGTCTTGTATTGTAGGATCTCGAATCTAAAGTAAGAAGAAGAGACCATGGGATAGTCGAACCTGGTCTGTGATGCTTCATGTTGTGGGGTTCTGTGATAAGTAAAAGGATGATATGATAGCATAGCTACATATATGAATTGTTGAAAACAACATCATTTTGAAGTGGCCTTGTGCTCGACTCAGTTGGTTAACTCGGTCGGATTTCCAGTTGAGATTGATAAACTCGACTTTGACCGAGCCCGAATAGACAACCAACCGGGCCTTCGGCGCCCGTTGAGATACTCAGGTTTAGGTAGAATTGGTTTGACCAGCAGAGTCATACTCGAATTGACAATCATGGTCATGACTCTTGTTGTCTGTGTTTGAAGATATATTAGCTCAAATCCCAATACTTGTCTATTTTCTATACAAAATAAAGATAAATAATGGCGAAGACAAAAATGTCATTCATACTTTTGCTCTCGTTGTAGGAAATTTAAAATGGGACGACTATTTTATCATGCCAGTAGTATATATTGTGTAGAGTGTATATGTAGACATGTCCTTGCTCTAGAGTGTAAATATAGACATGTCCTTGCTCTACAATTCATTTTAATATATAAAAAAAGAGAAAATAAACCAACTTATTAAACTCAACCTCGTTCAATGATTGTTGAATCCAATCATGTCTGTCAGATTAGGAAGATGTTTAGAACTTAACGGTTAGCCTAGTTAAAACGTCCAAAGTCCCCATATTGTTTGCAGAAAGATATGGATATGATTGTCTCACGGTAGATCTATAAAGTAATACTAATGTAAGAGTTTAACATCGCTTCTACAAATTTGATATTGCAATTCGATATGTAATATTGAACCAATGATAAATAGAACTTTAGTGACCTTATAAGATAGATAGAAAATTATAAGATAAATAGAAATTTAAAGTAAGTATCAAAGTATTATTAAAAGAATAAAGGGTAAATACAATTTAATAGCCAAACCTTTCATCCCTAAACAAAATAATAGTCAAGCCTTTTCGAAAACAAAATAATAGCCAAAACATTAACTTTCTGTCCGATCAACTGTTAGTTGACTGTGACGTGGCAGTTTCATCACTGAGTTGGATGTCAATTAGTGACATGGCATAGAGTCAACCATTTGACTGTGCCACATAGATATTTATCAATTTATTATTTGAAATAAAATAAAAAATAAACAAAAATAAAAAGTAACATCCTCACCTTCCGTTCTCTGTATTCTTTTTACAAACCCTATTCTCAAAATTTAAGATGGAAAAAATCCCAATTTCTTTCCCTCCCGTGCCTCTCACCCACAAGCATATTTCTCACCAAAATTTCATCTTCCCAAAGTCTCCGCCAAGGCGCCAATGCTTCACCCGCTGGTAAAAAAGGGATAGGACTCTTGAAGTGCGCCGCATGCTTCGGTTGAATCCGGAAGATGAAATGGTCGATCTGGAATTTGGCCACGATCTGGGCGATTAGGCTGTCATGGTTTGGGGTGACGAGGCGGCGATTCACTGGCGGAGCCAATGAAGATCGAGATTGAATTTCAGATCTGAGTTTTCAGATTCTATAGCCGTCAGATTAAACGATGAGGACGACGATGAGTGAGATCCACTCAAGGTTGCAGAACTAGCCGGAGCGGGCGGGGATTTGGCTGGTCGAGCTGTTTGCCTGTAAGTCGAGGTGGTAGAGGTCGAGTAGATCAGCGAGAGTAGACGGGAGAGAGACGTCGAGGAAGTTTTGGGACAAGTCGAACAAGGGGAGGTCCTGGCAGGTGGAGATGGCGTCGGCGGGGAGGGAGGAGTTGATGGAGTTGAAGAGGGAGAGGAAAGTGAGGGTTAAGATGTAGTAGAAGAAGGGGAAAGGGACGGCGAGGAGGGCGGAGGAAGTGGGGTTTCTTTTCTTTTTTTCTTTTTCATTTTTACAGTTTAGTTATTTGTACCTTTAATAATAAATAGTTTGGTTATTCAATAAAATGATACAAAAATATAGATAGGCTGACGTGTACACATATATGCCACATTAGAGTTGACTAACAGTTGACCGGACGGAAAGTTAACGGTTTGGCTATTAAATTATTTTTAAAAATGTTTGGATATTATTTTGTATAAAATGAAAGGTTTGGCTATTAAATTGTATTAACCCAAGAATAAAATATGAAAATCAAAGTATAAAACACCAATAAGTACCGCGCGAAGATTTAGTGACCTTAGCTAACCATTGAAAAGTTATGTTATTTTTTAATGTTAGCTTCATGTATGTCTTTTATTTAAAATGGTACAACTAATATATGTAGCTTGATTGGTTAAAATTCTTCTCATTGTTGAAAATTACCACGGTTTAAATCCTAGTATGCCTTTCTTTTTTAAGGAATAAATGAGAAACAAATAGATCAATGTGAAGACATAAATACCCTTCCTACTTTCACTCTCGTTGCAGGAAAATTTAAATGGGGGGTGCAAAAAAATATCCAGCTATCTATATATTGTAGATGTTTTGGAAATCTTAGGTTGGTCGATTCGGAAATATCGGATATTCGACTCCAAATGTTATGCAGTTTTAGTGCTATAAAAAGATTCAACTGTAGTCTAATCACGATTCTAGTGCAAAATAATCACTAACTTTTTGGTATAACGTCCGATACGGTTTCTCAAAATGCGGAATGCGTTGGAGTGGTTACTAAATTTTGAGTAACCACGGTGGCTACCAACATCTACACCCTTAATTATATCTATTTCATCCTGTTTTTAAGTCGACGGTAAATATTATATGAAGGATAGTTTTGGAAATAGAAATAATACCACACCTGATTACTATTCTTTAAAAAAATATTTTTATATATTGTACCGCAAACCCTAATGCAACCGCCTCCTCCCTCTCATCCCCTTCCGCCTGCCGGCGGCCCTTCTTCTCCGGACCAGAAACTGCAGCCGCCTCCTCCCTCTTCTCCCCTCCCGTCCGGGGGCAACCCTTCTTCTTAGGAAAATTTGAATGGGCGTCGTGGTGCCTTCCTTTTACCCGCATCAGAGTATCAGCAATGCACCGCATCCCTGAAGAAATCCTAGTCTCGTTCCAATCACAACGTTTCATTCTCAAGGTCCATGCACCGCTTACGGCGGTTCACGCGAATAAACGTCGAAACAACCATCGCCAATCTCCGGGAAAGTCCGACAGACATTCAGCCTCAAGCAAATCTCTAGAACAATCCCTACCCAGGCTGTCAGACAGGAATACCAACAGGCAGAATTCGAATACCGAGATCACAAAGCGCAAGGAGACGTGCATGGCCTCGCCCAATCTCCCATCCCAAGATCCCAAAGGCGGCGGAAAGAGTGTTAGTCCCGACCCAGTTTCTAGGAAGCCCAAGAAGGTGTGGATCAGGAAGTTAGGCCCTTGCCGTAATCCCTTTCTTAGTCTGAAGAGCCTTGAACCCACTTGTACCAAAAACCCACTTCCCTCGAATTGCCTCAGCCTCTACCCGCCCAGGTCCAATAACGACTTCCACAACTTCCTCTTCCAAGGCATACTCACACCAAGACCAGTCCGCCAGCCCAAATCGATCAAATTCCTATCTTTCACCCTATCCATCTCCATCTCAGAAAACCTCCCTTTCCCATTCGACCCAAACCTCATCTCTTTACTCCCCTCCCTCGTACAGAGACCTCATTCCCATCCAACCTCCCTTCCCCTTCCCATCCAACCTCATTCATAGCCTAGATTTGTCGAGCTGGACGATGAAGCCACCCATCCACCCAAAACCCCCCACGCCGGCCTCACTCACCAACTCCATTTCCAGCCTTGTTGTTCCTGCGACCCCCCAGACCCCAACTCAAACCCCCGCCCTAAGCTTCGATCCTGATCCCGATTTACCGTCTCCTTCGGATTCCCAGGTTTGTGAATGGAACCACATCAAGTTCCCATTTGATGCAGGCACCCTCGTGAACACAGGTCTCGCTCTTGACGACCTCTTCGCTCTGGAGCACTCCGAAGGTCAGGAAAAAACCAACAAAATGATTGTGGAGAAAGCCGAAGAAGTTCATCACAAAAAAGTTCGCACCAAAAAATCCAAACTGGAAATGGAGCAATATCGCCTGAGCAATCTAGAGACGCCAAATTTAAATTCAGGAAGAAGTAAAAGGCGGGCAGAGAGTTTTTCCTCTTCAACCAACCCCTAATGGAAGACTCTTTTCTAGGGTGGAACGTGAGAGGGATTGGCGATCCCAACAAAAGAGACAGAATTAAGCATATAATCAGAAGGCGCAACCCCAAGATTGTTGGATTGGTTGAGACTAAGCTCAACAGATGTGAAGACAATCTCATTCGCAGCATTGGCGGCTCTAGAGAATGTGGGTGGAAAGCTAAAGATGTTGTAAACATCTCTGGAGGAATATTGGTCTATTGGGATAAAGCTTCCATCCAAGTCCTGTCAAGCCATACCAGAAACCACTTCTTGGCCTTAAAGCTCCTCGATCTC